AATTAATATTGATCCGATTTGGTTGATGAGCCCCACCATTACAAATACAGAGTATTGATATCTAGAATATATGCATGAATATTATATAACGTAAAATGGTAAATATTGAACGATGCTTTAGACTAGGTTCCAAAACGTCTGTTTCCATTTAAAACACATCGATATTCAATTTATTCTGTCCTTTATCTTCTATGTTCTAACGTTATATCAATTGGAAAAAAAACGTATCTTCAATTACAAAAAAAGTTAACATGGACTATTTTTTAACACTTCACAAGACCTTCAACTCAATCATAATGATCATACTGAGCGTTAATGATAACTGGTAGCGTTGGTAGTTGTGTGTTTGGTTAGACACTCCCAACCTTGCAACAGCTTAAGCCCTATTAAGACGGTGTCTTTGGGTTATGGCGAGATTGAAGAGCCATTTTCATAGTTTATCAGACTTGGATTTGAATAATACCTTATTTGGTAGCGAATTAAATTATGAAATGTCATCTGAAGATAATGAATATTCAAGATAAGGGGTAGTTTTACTGGAACCTCAGTGATTTGTTCAGCGTGCTCATAGCTAAATGATGATAGGGGCGATACTACAGAGGTGTTTTTTCCCATGATGCATTGCTGCAACCAAACCGGTTGTCATATGATTTTTTATTTTTTCATTTTGCTTGCTATCTTTGTTTTGATTTATAGAATAGCACGACATGTCTTTTACTTATTTATAGAATATGGAAATTCTCGACTTCACTAAATAATGGTGTTACATCAAAGTTTGTTCACTGCCATTTCATTGAAAGTCTCAACTAGGAACACGTGAAAGCGGTCTTATATTCATATTAACGTCGCATGCTCATAACGGTAACAGTGTTGGGGTGTTTTGGAAAAGCTGAACTTTTAGATATAAATCAATGTGGCGTTTTGCAATGCACGTGTAAATAACACAGAAAATAGTTAGTTTCTAAGACGGGGTTTGGAGAACTGTTTCATTAACAACGCACGCATGCCAAACAGTTACAATTAGAGAAACAAATTCCTCTTCAAAATTTCGTCACAAACACATTCAGTATTTTCATTACCTACATGTTATCATAGCAAAGAAAAACGGATGGTCAGGCATGGTGCATCCCCCCC